TTCAGATTTCGTATAATGCCAATAGATAAAGTTTATTGGAACACAGCCATATCCATTCATTTATATATTGTTTATGATACTGTTTGGCTGCTTTTGATGTTAAAGTAGCAGAGCTGAGTCATAATGATGGAGATAGTGTGATTCTCAAACCCTAATGTATTTACTCCCTTTCGAGGAAAAGTTTGCCAGGTCCTGTTTTAAATCATGAAAATACATGGACGCCCTCAATGATGGCTGCATTTAATTAAACTGCAGATGGTTTAGACAACTGTGCTTTTTGAAGACCTCTGTAGTAACTCTGTCCAGTAAGTCCTTAGTAACAAAGTGGGTTCTTCTATGAGTTACACAAGAATTGATATGGTAGCAATTGGTGTCACTCTTCTTGATCTGTGTGGACTTAACATTCATGTTCTTAACTGTTGGCTAGCAACCCCAGGGGTGTAAGGACAAGCAGTCATTTGTAGTTTTGCCGAAGCATGAATTTAAATTATGACTGTGGCAGAGTGGTGTGGCAAAGCATGTTCAATCACCTAACCTGACATTCAGAATACAAATAGTTACTTATATGATAACTCTTATAAAATACAATCAAGTATGAGTTTTATAGGAGAATTTATGTAATATAATGGGATTTATGATGTCATCACAAAGGTCAAGGACTTTATTGCAGGAGAAAAAACTTCTGTTACTAAGCCACACTCAGTATCAGGTTGAAAGCAGGCATTAAGTCATTTCTCTCAGCAATTGTTCAAAGGGAGAGAAATTGTTCCAGTTTTATATTTCTTCAATCCTAAAATGAAAGTGCTATTCTAGACATCAGTTAAAGACTTTAGAGCAAATCTCTTAAAATTATTAAGCCAGTCAATTTAGTCATCCAGATAGAAACTTAACAACTGGTATACTATAACTTAATTCATGCCTCTGCTGGCTCTTGGGTCAGTAGTTAAATCCAGAATATGTGTAACATAAAGAAAATATTTATTGAACTAGTAAGCACTTTGTTATGGTAAAACAAATGGATTCCTTATTATCTTAGAAAATGTTACATATATTTTGAGCAGTGTCATAATATTGCTATTAAATCTAGTCAAGCATATCTGAATATTTTAGTGCCGTGATCTTATTTTTCTATACTATTGTAATCGTTATTATTTTCCTTTGAACTTGAATGAATTAGAGAATTGCTTGAAAATTAGGTTAGTACAGTAACCTTACTGTCACAGTACAGATTTTAACCTGACTTTAATTTTTAACTTTTGAGGACTGCTTTAAAAAAAAAAGTTATCATATTCTTCTGTACACAGGGAAAGAAGTCTGCGTTTTGATCATCTCAAATAGTAATTCAGGGAGGTGTTTACCTAGAAATACAGCATTTAGGAGTTTGTAGGTCATGCCTGAGTTATATTGCCAAAACGATTGTCTTTTCTTTTAAGCTTTCTGATCATAGAATTGCATGAGTTTAACATTCTAATTCTGTTCTCTTTGTTAGGCTATTGCTATATGCAGAATTTCACATAACCAATGTGAGATATTCACACAAAGATAACTTCCACCTAATGTTCTTTAGTTCTTTGCTTTTTGACCCATTCTGACTTAAGATAATCTAACATTTCATTTCTTCTGTATAATATAAACAAATCTGTTAAATTTTGAAAGGCAGTGACAGTAAGCAGTCCTTTTCATCGTACTAATTCAGTCCTTTCTCAGGCCTGAAAAGGAAAAAGACAGAGAGAGTAGATGAAAAGAGCCTGAGCTCTAGAGTCACAGAACTAGATTCAAAATTATAACTATGGACCTCTCTGGGTATAACGTGTGAAAGGGATGTAATCTCAGTTTTACAGAATTGTTAGAAAAATTGGTAAGTATGGAGAGCACCCAGCGTGGTATCTGCCATAGTATATGCACAGTCATGTTAGCTATTTTTCTGTTATTATTTGCATTAAGGTGCCCAACTAATGTTCAGTTAAACCTGACTTCTGTCTTTGCAAAAGGAGGAAAAGCACAGTACAGAAGTGAACAATAAATACAGTCCACAACCTCACTTGAGGCGCTGTTAAGAACTTTTCCATGTTTTCTGTGTAAATTTCTAGTAAAGCAAGTGTTGCTGAAGTGATTTTTTTTTTCCCCAGTTAATCATTTGCTGAAAGTTATAACTAGCAGTGTAATACATTGGATAGTTTATGGAGAAGAGAAGTTTCACAGAGGGTACTATTGCTTCACTGTATGGGAATTAAAGAATACATATTTTAGTTATACAATATGAAAATTGTGTGTGGGGTAACTGCTATAGTTAATGAAAAATGAAGTATTGTGCAGGTGAATTGTTCTTTAATCTCAAGCTCAAGGCACAGCTGAGGTTCTTTGTTAGTCAGCTGCATTCTGTGAAAGATAGTGAACATTCATAATCAGTTTTTAATTACAGATGCTTTTCTCTGTAAATCTGCATTATAGCCTTGTATCTGATTTTTAGCACTTTTACAGCATTGTTCAGATCAATGAATACAGGCTACCTGCTAGCTACTCAGAAGAGCTTTGGTCATTTATCCTTTTGTGAGCCTCTTTAAAATGGGAACGATGACTACAACTCAGCAGAAACACCTGTAATTTACAAAGTACTATATACATAGAGAAAGGCTTCAGCAACAATATGACTATCATAATCAGGCAATGTATTGGGATAATTTTTATGGGTTTTAATTAATTTTGTAATGCATGTCCTCCAATACCAGGGGTAATTCAGAATTGAATGTGTTAAGAAAACTAGTTTCTTAATTTTTTAAAATATTAATATAAAAACATACTCACGAATGTAAGAGATATTAGGAACCCTGCTTTATAGATGGGGAAATTGATACATAGAAATTTGAACTTATATTAAATCATTTTAGTATATAGGCTGAAATTGCTCATTTTTAATGGTATGCTTTTTTCCCCTAGGAATGAATGGGTCATTGTTGACAAGATTCTCGTTGTCTAATGATCTTAGAAATGTAAATCATTATTTTAACCTGTAATAAATGTTAAGCACATAAACTTTATATCTCAATAGTTTTAGTTATAAAATTTCAGTACAGGGAACTGGTTTTACGGATCACACCTGTACTTACTGTCTACACAACACTGTCTACACAGTGTTGGCAGTGCTGCTTTAAAAGCAGTTTATATTCCTTCCCCTCCCAAAATTTATAATTATTGCTTGGGAGCAAGAGACCATAGTAAACATTGTATATAATTCAGCTGTGACAGCCATGTGATTGTGTGATTTTCTAGACAAGTACCCATCTTCTTTGTGCCAGTTAAATATCTAGAAAAAAAGTGAAAAGAACAATTGTAATAAAGGTAGGTGTTTAAACTAGAGAAGATTCAGGGCTCTGGAAACAGAAAACCAGAATTAAAATGTTTGAAGGACTATCAGGTAGGAAAGTGATTAGACTTGTGTTTGACTCCAAGGAGTTAAGCTTCAATCTGTGTATGGAAGTCAAAGTGAGAAAGATTTTAAAAGAAGTTGATGTGTGTCAGAATTGTCTGGAAATGGTAATGGTTTTCCTTGGGAAATGGAAAGTATCCTGTGTTTTGTCTGTCATAGACTAGACTGTTAACCGGTGTGCATCAAGAGGGTTAGAGTCTGAATTCCCCATGGTATTGTCTGTTCCTAAAATAATGAGATTAACTAAGTGTGCAGACTAAAGTGGAGTGGAGAAAAAGGATTGCTTGGAAATTTTTTTACAAAAAGAAAGACATGTCATAGCCTTTTTTTCCCCCCAAAAAAAGACAAATTTTACCTACTTTTTGTGTAACACTTTTCCACTCTACTATTTCTTCATGCTGTAAAGTGGCATTTTCTGTAAATTTTCCAAGAAACAAGATTGCTAACTTTAAAAGCCTTCACTTTGGTTTGTTGGTATTCACTAGATATAAACAAAAGTATTTACCACGGTATTATTTCAAAAATACAGAATAGTCTCTTACTTAAAGCAGTGATGAGATGAAAAGAAAAGCACTTTACATGGATAAACTCTGGAGCAGAAGAGTGAAGTCTCATCTGCTTGATTGGGGATCTTCTTTGTACTCTTCACTTTTTGGCTTTCCCAAATTGCCAGATTATTTTTATTCACCAGATAAAATTCCCTTCATTTAGCTCCTTTCTATTCACTGGTTTCCATGATCTGCTAGTCCACTTTTAAAAGGGCCGCCAAATTGACAGTGCTGCTTTGTTGTTCTTCCCAGCTCTACTCTAGGGCTCCTGCCGCTGATCTCAAATGCAGGAGCAGCAGAGGTGCTTTGAGAGAAAGAGAACAGAATGTCAAAGAGTCCAGCGGGGGACCAACAGATTGTGGGAAACCATGTGACTGTGTGATTCACATCTCCAAGGAGAGAGAACCGGTTGTTTCTGTGTCTAGATCCACCCTGTTATGAGGATAATACCATCAATAATGTAATTTTAATTGCCTGGATGCTTTGACACTGGCTTGAAAAAATAAAACTTTTAGCAGTGAAGTTACTGGTCAGATGAGTTTGAGTAGAACTGAATTTGATGGCATTTAAATCAAGACAGTGGATAATGACTTACAGATTAAAACTAATGTTTTAGGCATTATGGGGAGAGGGTAACTCATCTATGTATATGTGTGTTATGAGTAAAATATTCAGTTCCATTTGTTTGCTACCAACGTTATATGACCTGAAGCTATTTGGTTTGTGTATTGCTTCTAACAGTGAAATCCTTAAATAGATGACTTATGTAAGTCTTACAGTTAGAAAACACAGTAAATTTCAATTTTTGTCTTAAGACATTGTTGTCAAAGATCAAATTTTATGGATTAATTTCTTAGGCTCTGTTGTTAGGTTATTGATAATGAACTGTAACTTACAATTTGCGATTTTGCATACATTTAGATCAAGAAATTTTCTTCAGTCATTAGAACATATAGGAGGGAAAGTTGGTATCATTAATGTTAGGACAGCATAACATGGACCTTTCTTTTAATCTGTAATTCTAGGACGACATAGACAGCCTAAACCCAGTTCTCAGGGACAACGCGCAACTTCAGGAAGAAGTGAAAGTCTGGGTAAAGGAACAAAAAGTTCAGGAGATTTTTATGCAAGGTAACTGTTTTGAAGTTATGCATTAACTTTTTTTTGAAACTGGGCAATTTCTCATGTTTGGTTTTGGTTGTTCAGTTATACGCATTATAAATAGAAGACCCAGTCTAGTATTTTGAGTTGCATACAGTCCAGGGAAAATAATAGCAAAATCAGAATAATTTTGATAGGAAGTTGATAACTTCTCCAGTTTGCTAATTTGAACTAAATGCCTGGAGTGAAATTATAACCACACAGGTGTTTTGTTGATAGGAAACTTTCCATATTACAGAATGCTTTAGGTGTGTCCTTCCTGAAGAAGGAAGCATTGTTTGCTGTGGAGAGTTGCCCAAAGCCACAGTTGATTTCCTTTGAAGAATGCTGTTGGTATCTGATAAAAGTGGCCTGTTTCGATTTGCCTTCCTCAGCAGTGACCATAATGCTAGTCTTAGTTTTGTTTCCGTTTTTTAGTAAGTTACAAGTTTGTCTTCAAACCAGTGAGATTTTATGATTTTTAGTGATTTCTTTTCCTGTCAGTAAAATCATATATTGTAAATGTAAGCATTTTGTGAAATTGAACTGACACTGGAACAATATAACATGAAGTATCAATATTTTGTTGAATGTTTTTTAAAAGGAATTTTACTGTTAAATTCCCGTGTTTATCTCAGGCTCAACTTCCATGCCATTTAATTCAAGCATTAATTGAGATAATCTTAAAGTTGTGACTGTTTTGCTTTGTGTGGGTTTTTACAGCAGCTAATCATCTACTTATTAAATTCTTCTTAGGCTAAATATGTTTTAAACTTATAAAATGGAGAATTTGAAACATACACAGAAATAGAACCTATCAGTTAACTTCCATGTGCCTGTCTCCCAATTCCAACAACTGTAGAACTTGGTGGATTCTGCCTCACCGATACTCCCATTTACTTCCATCAATTATCAGACATTGCTATGTTTTATTTTTAGACAAAGCCACCATACCATTATTTCACCATTATTATGCTGAAAAATTAAGTTTCTTAATACCAGACACTGAATAGTCAGGTTCAGATTACCATTTGTCTCAAAAGTGGCTTCAGTGATTTTTCACAATATTGATTTTTATTTTATTTATTTTTGATCCAAGATCCAAAAAGTATCCACAAATTGGTTGATATTACCTGTCTCTTTTTTCCTTTCCTTCCCTTTCAATTTATTTATTTATTGAAGAAACCAGGCTGTTACTTTTAAAGTAACGTTTGGTTTCCTTGTCATACTCTTAGAGGTGAAAAGATTAAGGCAGTCGTCCCTTTCCATCCTAAGCAGAATTACGTGAGGCTGACTCCAAATCGTGTTTGGTGGTAGGAACAAGGCAGTTAAGATGGTATGCTGATGAGAATTGAAAATTGGTCATATTTGGAGTTACTCTATAAGCTTTTGCTACGTTATATTCAGAAAAAATAATTTAGAGTTTTTCTGCCATAGTTGGAAATTCTAAGGCTAGCATTTATATAATTGATTACAGCTATGAATGTTTAATTTACAGGTGATATGAAATACTTTCTACAGATGTGTTAATTGAGTTATATTTTAGGCTAATATTGCATAGATTTTTAAAACTGGCAAATAAAGATTAAACCATTAGTTGGTATGTTAAATGTCTTAGAAATGTGGAAGAAAAGGCATCAACCTAGGAACCAGAAAAATAAATTCAGTCCTAGCTTTTTCACTTGAAAGTTTATTTAACCTATCAACCTCACTTTCTTAATGTTTATAAACAGGAAAACAGTACCTAACAGTTTGAGAAGATTAAATAACCATTCACAAATTTTGAAATCACCTTATAAATTGTTAATATATAATACTGTCATTAAGGTACATAACCCCCCTACCTTTACCCCATGCAGTTCTTATTAAACTTTCAGGTGTTTGATATTTTGGTACCTATAAGTTGAAAACATTTTTATTTCTATTTTCTCTTTTAAAATACTTAAACATATACAGATATTCATCTTTTATTACTTAATCCTTCCCTGTTTTCTAAAGGATATCTGTCGACAGATATCCTTTAGAAAGTGAGTTTAAAAGTACACCATATGTCTTTATTGAAAAAAAGCTTTTTAGTGACATATTTATAAATTCAGTTAGCAGTCTTTACATGTTTTAAGACTTGGGCAGCTTTTCCCAGCTGTCACAGAGGAATCAAAATTTGTAGTTGCTTATGGTAAAGTTTTGGCAACTGGAAGACTCAGACATCAAGTTCCAGATTACCTTTCCATTTCATCTGTGAAGTAGTGTGTATGTGTTGTTTTTGTTTGTTTGTTTTTTAAGGTCCTTATTCCTTGAATGGATACAGAGTGAGGGTATATAGACAAGATTCTGCCACCCAGTGGTTTACTGGCATAATTACTCATCATGATCTCCTCACTCGCACCATGGTCGTTATGAATGATCAGGTAAGTAGTCCAACTAGTATTTTTGAAGAGATGGTTACAATTCACATAATCTATCCCTACCCCTCCCCCCCAAAAAATGGATCAACAGATTGACACTAAATTTTCATTTCTAGGTTTTATTTTGCAGTCATTAATCCTAATAAGTTCAAATGTATCTGATATTACATTAGAGGTCACTTTACATCACAAGGACCTAGTGATGCCAAACTTATTTCAAAACCAATAAAATTAGTCCTTGAAATGGAGGCATCAGACTTAATTGTTTAGTCTTTTTTTTGTCTTTAGGTCAGCTAAAACTTTCTTAAAGTCTCAGCTTTTGTGTCTCTCCAGTAATAAAAATATTTCCCACATGGTTTCTTTTTGTGAGTGAAAACTTTAGTGCACACTGAGTTCTTCTTACATCAAATTTCAGAACTGGTATGCTTCCTTAAGTTTTATGGTGAGTATGGTGAATATTAAGAATATCAATTTCATACAGAGTTTTAAATAAGAATCTGAAAGTCTTAATTTCAAATCTTTTAAAGCTGTAGTTTATTTACCGCCCCCGCCAAAATAGATTTTTTCACCTTCCTGTCTCAGCGGTGTCTGAATAAATGAGAGCCCTTCTATAAAGAATACAAATGGCTTGGTTAAATTTTTTAGTCAAAATGCTAAATAAATTGTATAATTTAATTGTATTTATGTTTTTACCTAAGAAGTTAACAAACCTTTACCTCTTAGTAAAATTGCCTTTTGTTTTTAAAATTATTCTTGTAACCTGTCTTTTAAAAATTATTATTATTATTCATTTGTATAGTTTTTGTCCTTTTCTCCTTCCTGTGTTCTGCCTTTTTATTTTATTTTACAGCTGTCTTTTGAAAATTCATATTTTTTAAATACATTTTATGATTTGGCATTATACTTTTGAATAACTCTCATCCTTGTTTTTCAAGGTATACTTGCAATGGATAAATTTGCTTTTTAATGTTTGGTTAGCAGATATAACAGTAGCCTTCAGAAAGTTAAGAAGATAATTTTATCTTACTGGTTAAAGTTCATTTATTGTAAACCTAGCAGTGTCCTGCAAATTAAAGATCCCAAACTGAATTCTAAACATTTCTGTACCTAAAATCACATTGGCTAGCTGATTGGATTTAATTTTTGTTCTTGTTTTGTATCATGGATTAGGTACTAGAACCACAGAATGTCGATCCTTCTATGGTTCAAATGACCTTTCTAGATGATGTTGTTCACTCTTTGTTAAAAGGTGAAAATATTGGCATTACGTCACGGCGAAGGTCTCGTGCCAGTCAAAATAGCAACACTGTTCACGTATGTATGCTGTTAGTGATGGATTATTGTAAAATGTTATCCCTTAAATTACTTAGGATGAAAGTGTAAACAGTCATTGTTATTTGGTTATTTTTAGGGTCATTATACACGTGCTCAAGCAAATAGTCCCAGACCAGCAATGAACTCCCAAGCTGCTGTACCAAAACAGAATTCACACCAGCAACAAAGAAATATTCGTCCAAATAAGAGGAAGGGCTCAGATAGCAGTATACCAGATGAAGAGAAAATGAAGGAGGAAAAATATGATTATATAGCACGAGGAGGTAGGACTCACTTTTTTAAAGGGAATGAGAATAAAAAACACAAAGATACATTTAAAATATACTTACTTAATATTGAAATGAAAAATGAAACTGTTCTTTTTTTTAATTTTATAGAAAATCCTAAAGGTAAAAACAAACAGGTGATGAACAAAAGAAGGAAACCTGAGGAGGATGAAAAGAAACTAAATATGAAAAAACTACGAACTGACAATGTTTCAGACTTTTCTGAGAGCAGTGACTCAGAAAATTCAAATAAGAGAATGATAAATAATTCCTCAGAGCAGAAGCCAGAAAATGAGTTGAAAAATAAAAATACTTCAAAGATAAATGGAGAAGAAGGAAAATCCCAGAATAATGAGAAGGCAGGAGAAGAGACACTAATAGATTGCCAGTCTTGCTGGGATCAAATACAGGAAGATAAAAAACATGAAGAAACAGAGAAGCAGAAGTCTGTTGACTCTCATCTTCAAGAAAAAATGATTATCCATTCATCAGAACAGGCCACACTTTCTGATCATGATTCTAATGATTTGCTTCTTCAGGAATGCAATAAGGAAAAACTACATACAGTGGAATTATTACCAAAGGAGAACTTTGTATCCAGACCACCCACACCAAAATGTGTTATTGATATTACGAGTGACTCTAATACTGAAAAGGTGGCTCAGGAAAACTCAAGTACCTTTGGCCCTCAGACACTTCAGAAAATGGATCCTAATGTTAGTGATTCAAAACATTCAATTGCAAATGCAAAATACTTGGAAACAGCAAAACAAGATTCTGACCAGAGCTGGGTCAGTGATGTGGTTAGAGTAGATTTAACACAATCAAATATTAGGAATGCTTCTTCAGGAAGTGATAACCTGAATATGGAAAAAGAGAAAAGTCAATATGTCTCTTACGTATCTTCTCTGAGTACAGTTTCTGTCACAGAAGATAAGCTGCATAAGCGAAGTCCACCCCCAGAAACTATAAAATCTAAACTTAATACTTCATTAGATGCTCACAAGACAAAATCCAATCCCTCACCTGAAGTTGTTAAACCTAAAATTAACCATTCTCCTGATTCTGTAAAGCCTAAGGCCACTTATGTGAACAGCCAAACTGCTGGTGAAAGAAGACTGGCAAATAAGATAGATCATGAGATATCAAGATGCAGTTTTCATCCAGTTCCTACTCGAGGCAGTACATTAGAAACTACAAAGAGCCCTCTAATCATTGATAAAAATGAGCATTTCACAGTTTACAGAGATCCTGCACTTATTGGATCAGAAACAGGAGCTAATCACATTTCACCTTTCTTAAGCCAGCATCCCTTTCCTCTTCACTCTTCATCCCATAGAACATGTTTAAATCCAGGTACCCATCACCCTGCCTTAACTCCTGCACCCCATTTACTGGCTGGATCATCCAGTCAAACTCCATTACCTACCATTAATACTCACCCTCTGACTAGTGGTCCACACCATTCTGTTCATCATCCTCATTTACTTCCTACTGTGTTACCTGGAGTGCCTACTGCCTCCTTACTTGGTGGCCACCCACGACTAGAGACTGCACATGCCAGCAGCTTGAGCCACTTAGCACTAGCCCACCAGCAACAGCAACAGTTATTACAGCACCCATCACCTCATCTTCTTGGACAAGCCCATCCTTCTGCTTCATATAATCAGCTTGGACTTTATCCAATTATTTGGCAATATCCAAATGGAACACATGCGTACTCAGGACTTGGTCTGCCACCTTCTAAGTGGGTTCACCCAGAAAATGCAGTTAATGCTGAATCCTCATTAAGGAGGGTAAGCTTTACCACATGTCATTTATTTATTAATCAACATACACACAAGTACTTTTTAAAATATTCCATTAACTTTTTAGATTTCTTATTATAAAATGTTGTGATTTTTCGGTTATTTTTCAAATTAAAATGAAACTCTTGATGCTTAGTAATTTGAGGTCTATAGAGCTAAAATCTCAGCAAAGCAGATTTACTTAAAAAAATAACTTGAAGTAAAATTGTTAACTTGCTTCTAATGTAACTTATGAAGAATGAATATCTTCGTAACTAATTATTGTACATATCTGTAATTATTTTCCTCAGATAAATTCCTAGAAGTGAAACTTCTGGATATTAAATTTATGTAAAATTACAAGGTTTTAGGTATCTATTATCAAGTTATTCTTCAAAGACAAATTGTTACATTCCCCAGCAAGATATACTATATTGATGTATACTACAAGCTGTGACTCTCTAAGCCCCTTGTTCTCTTAAGTACACCATGGCTGGGTATTCCTGATACTGGGGAGTGAAGTTGGGGGCTGAGATTTTCTCTGCCTGACAGTATTGCTAAAGATGGTGGTATGGAGCTCTTACTTCTTCATGGGCTATGTAGTTTTTCTAGCCAAGTTAATTTTCATAATAATAAATTGTTGTTAAGGGAATGACCAGTCCCCACATAAAAAATGGGAGAATGAGTGTCACTGTTAAATTCTAGGAGACAGCTTAATCCTTGGTGCAGACCAGGAGGCTCTTCAGGTGTTCCCTAAATCTTTTGAAACACATTTTATTTATTTATTTGTTTGTTTATATTGTGGTTGAAAACCACATTAAATTTACTTAACCATTTTTAAGAGTACAGTTGAGTAATTTTAAGTATATTTACATTGTTGTGCAACAGATCCCCAGAACTTTTTCATCTTGCAAACTAAAATTCTGCCCATGAAATGTTAATTTTCCTCCTCTTTCCGCCCAGTTTTTGGCAACCACCTTTCTACTTTCAGTTTCTGTGATTGTCTGCTTTAGATACTTCATTTGAGTGGACTCATAGTATTTGTCCTTTTGTGGCTTATTTCATGTAGCGTAATGTCATCAGAGTTCATTAATGTAGCATGTAACAGGATTTCCTTTTTTTTTTAAGCTTTTTTATATTCTGTTGTGTGTATATACAGGTATCCCCTGCTATTTGAATAATTGATTGCAACTTTGGATTTCTGGATCTTGTAGAACTGTAGACCTTTTAAACATTTGAATGATCCTTATGTGCATATGCATACATCTCTATTAAGGTTTATGGTTTATAATATATATATTTAGGTTAAGAAATTTTATAACAGCGTTGTCTTCAGTGTGGTGTCATATGACTTTCACATTATCATTTTGAGATATAAAATTTATTCCCTTTATTAAAACCAAAGTGTATTGTATTTTCCCAGTATCTGACTCAACAAAGTATAACTCGACAAAGCATGTTCTGGAAGAATGTCAGTGAGTCAGAGTATAGAAGCAATCTTCAGCATGTAGTTAGTTGTAAGTCTCAACGCAGGGATCAGTGTCACCACATATTTAGTATTAGATGGGCAGCATGGTGATACAAAATTAATTTTGTTTTACCTCTGCACCTCCAAGTTTAATGGTCCAACAGTGTATAGCTTATAGTGAAATGGAATACAAATAAGCCTTGAAAATGTAACTTTCTGCCAAATCTAAGTAAATTGTTATATTGAAAAGATTCATTATTTTTGACACCAAAAATTGGCAAATGAACTTGATGGAATCTGGTGAAATGTATTTTAGCAACTTTTTTTTTCTATTATCAACAGATAGTCTTTTGATGTTACAATCTTAGGAAATCTTAAAAGCTAGGTTCTCTGTACATCATTTGTGAGTTAAAGGCAATGATTTCAAGACCTGCAATCAGTAAAGTAAATAACAATAAATTTCGGGAAATAACAATTTTAATGCTCATTAATTTTCTTCATGATATGGAAAAATCCCTATGACTATGTTGGCTACTTATTTGAATATTTCTGATAAAATGCATTTAGTAAAAGTCACATACTTCATAAATATACTGCTGTTAAAGTCCTACTGTGATACTGTGTTTAGCCTTTTATAGTAACTGAAGTCTAATTCTTTTTAAAAATAGAATTCTCCCAGTCCTTGGTTACATCAGCCTACACCTGTGACCTCAACAGATGGTATCGGATTACTTAGTCACATTCCTGTCAGACCTTCTAGTGCAGAGCCTCATCGGCCTCTTAAAATTACAGCACATTCCAGTCCACCATTGACAAAAAGTTTAGTAGATCATCATAAAGAGTAAGTTCACCAATGCTTAAAACTTTGATATATTTTAATTCAGTTTATAAACAGGTAATTTTAACAAATGTCTTAAAACTAGGCTTAGTGAGTACTATTCTGTTTAAATATCCCTACTAATTCAATGTTATAACACATGCAAATTCGTGTTTTACTTTCATGATAGAATAGTAATGTATAGAAGCTATATTTGTATCATACAAGAAAAAGTGTTTACAGAAACCTTTGTGTATTTTTTTTTACAGAGAATTGGAGAGAAAAGCTTTTATTGAACCATTACGTTCTATTGCATCCACATCAGCAAAAAATGACCTGGATCTAAATAGGTCACAGACTGGAAAAGATGGTCACTTGCATAGGCATTTTGTGGATCCTGTATTGAATCAATTACAGAGACCACCCCAGGAGACTGGAGAGAGATTAAACAAATATAAGGAGGAACACCGTCGAATTCTTCAAGAAAGTATTGATGTTGCTCCCTTTACAACTAAAATCAAGGGGCTTGAGGGTGAGAGAGATAATTATTCTAGAGCAGCAGCATCGTCTTCTAGCCCTAAAAGCCATGTCATCAAACAAGACAAAGATGTAGAATGCTCAGTATCTGATCTTTATAAAATGAAGCACTCAGTGCCTCAGAGTTTACCCCAAAGTAACTATTTCACTACATTGTCTAATAGCGTAGTCAACGAACCACCAAGATCATATCCATCCAAAGAGGTTTCAAATATTTACACTGAAAAACAGAGTAATACCCTTGGAGCAGCAGCTAATCCTCAAACTCTGACTTCATTTATATCATCTCTTTCAAAGCCTCCCCCTTTGATTAAACACCAGCCAGAAAGTGAAGGTTTAGTAGGCAAAATACCAGAGCATCTTTCTCATCAAATTGCTTCTCACTCAGTAACAACTTTCAGAAGTGATTGTAGGAGTCCTACTCATCTGACAGTTTCTTCTACGAATACACTCCGGAGTATGCCTGCTTTACATAGAGCACCGGTATTTCACCCACCAATCCATCATAGCCTGGAAAGAAAAGAAAGCAGCTATAGTAGCCTTTCCCCTCCAACTTTAACTCCTGTGATGCCTGTAAATGCTGGTGGGAAAGTTCAAGAATCACAAAAGCCTCCAACTCTGATTCCTGAGCCAAAAGACACTCAGGCAAATTTTAAGAGTTCTTCTGAACAGAGTTTGACAGAAATGTGGAAATCTAATAATAACCTCAGCAAAGAGAAAGCTGAATGGCATGTGGAGAAAAGCAGTGGAAAGTCACAGGCTGCTATGGCATCTGTCATTGTACGTCCACCTTCTAGTACAAAAATTGATAGCATGCCAGCAATGCAGTTAGCTTCCAAAGATCGAGTTAGTGAAAGATCTTCAACTGGGGCAAATCAAACAGATTGCCTAAAACCAGCAGAAGCTGGAGAGACTGGAAGAATGATTCTGCCAAGTGTGAATTCAGACAGTGCTCACATAAAATCTGAAAAAAACTTTCAGGCTGTCTCACAGGGCAGTGTTCCCAGTACAGTCATGTCTGCTGTAAACACAATGTGTAATACCAAAACGGATATATTCACATCTGCTGCCACTACCACCAGTGTTTCCAGCTGGGGTGGTTCAGAAATAATTTACCCTTTATCCAATACCATTTTGGCCTCTAAATCCTTAGAATGTACCTCTACAAAAAGTGTCAGTCATTCAGTGACTCAAACACAAGAATGCAGGGTCAGCACCACAGCTCCAGTTACACCAGCCAGTAGTAAGACAGGAAGTGTTGTTCAGACCAGCTCTGGGTTCTCAGGCACAACTGATTTTATCCATTTGAAAAAGCACAAGGCAGCATTGGCTGCAGCTCAGTATAAAAGTAGTAATGTCAGTGAGACCGAGCCTAATGCTGCGAAAAATCAGACATCGTCAGCCTCCCCTCTCTTGGATGGCACTGTGGTCTGTAGTACAATAAACAAAGCAAACTCTGTAGGAAGTGGGCAAGCATCCCAGACAAGTCAACCAAACTACCACACTAAACTGAAAAAGGCCTGGCTTACAAGACATTCAGAAGAAGATAAAAATACTAATAAAATGGAAAATTCAGGGAATTCTGTATCAGAAATTATTAAGCCATGTTCTGTCAATTTAATAGCCTCTACATCTAATGATATACAAAGTAGTGTAGATAGTAAGATCATAGTTGATAAGTATGTAAAAGATGATAAAGTCAATAGGAGAAAAGCCAAAAGAACTTACGAATCTGGCTCTGAAAGTGGAGATTCAGATGAAAGTGAAAGCAAATCAGAGCAAAGGACTAAAAGGCAGCCTAAGCCAACTTACAAAAAGAAGCAGAATGATCTTCAGAAGAGAAAAGGTGAAATAGAAGAAGATTTAAAGCCCAATGGTGTTCTCAGCAGGAGTGCCAAAGAAAAAAGTAAATTGAAGTTGCAGAGCAGCAGTAATAGTGGTAAGTAAATTATTTACTTTTTTATCTCAAGTAAAATGGGCTGTATGTTCTTGCAGTAAAGATGTGGTTCTCTAAAAATTAGTGAGTTTAAGGGCATCTTTGACTTTATTTGTATGCCCTGATGTAATATATGTGACCTCATTTTTACATTTCACGAGTTCCCTGTAAGAGGAAATGAGAGAAGACGTCCATTTTTAAGGGACTTGTAGAAATATGTTTTCGCATAGCATTTGTGGTGGCAAAAACCCACATGTACTTTAGTAGTTACTCAGATTTTTGACTGTTTCTAAAGACTGTCAAAATGCAGTTAACAGCTGTCACACCAAAAGTGGGTTTCTGATACAAGCATACCTTGTTTTATTGTACTTTGCAAATACTATCTTTTTTTTTTTTTAACAAAATGAAGGTTTATGGCAGCCCTGTGTCAAGAAAGTCTGTTGGAACCATTTTTCCAATAACACTTGCTCACTTCATGTCTCTCTTGTGTTTTGGTAGTTCTTAAAATATTTCAAACTTCTGCATTATTTATTTGTTATGGTGATCTGTAATCAGTGATCTTTGATGTTACTATTGCAAAAAGATTGTGACTCACTGAAGGTTCAGATGATGGTTAGTGTTTTTTAGCAGTAAAGTATTTTTATATTATGTGCATTGTTTTTTTAAACATGATGCTGTTGCACACTTAATAGACTGCACTATAGTGTAGACGTAACTTTTACTTGCATCAGGAAACCAAAAAATTTGTGTGACTTCACTTTATTGCAATATTTGCTTTATTGTGGTGGTCTGAAACTGAATCTGCACTATCTCCAACGTATGCCTATATTAGGTATTTACCTGTAACTAGATATAGTTGAGAAAGAAATCCTATTCACAAAAACTTCCTTTAAGTCACATTTTCAGAAGAGAACTACTTCAAAGTAGTATGAATGGGGCCCATATTTCACCCTTCTCTCATCTCAAGATGAAATTGAAAACTTAACAAAATTACCTTCTATTTAACTAATAATGCTACTCATTCAAGCCCTTAACAATGAGTAAAAGTTAAATAAAAGCAGGGAGGGGGCGGGGGATGGTTTTGTGTGTTTCTTTCTTTATTCAAGAAGAACTTCCAAAATAAGTAAAAGTTCCAAAATTGACTATATTTTGTTTGTGACTACAACAGGGCAAAATAAGTGATACTTACCAGTAATATTCACTATAAAGCATTTCTATATGTTTTTACTCTAGAAGTAGTTTTTCTGTTTGCTTATTTCTTTTTAGGTATGTTGCACAATGCAGAAAGCAGTTAATAGTTACACTATATCAGTGTATTCATTCACATACAATATATGAAATATCTGTGCAATGTGGACATTCAAGAAGTATCTTCACAAACATTTGGATGCTTGAAGCCTCTTTTTGGGGCCTTTTCAGTGAATGAGGTTTTCCCACATGCCTGTGTGGAAACCAGAGGCAAAGTGACGGAGAGAAAGCAGGAGGATGGAATCATACGAAAGAACAGTCAGAAAGTGAAAGAATGAAAGAAAACAAGAGACAGGCTGACAGACTGAAATGCAAATATAGTCAGAAGAAAGAAAGAGGGAGATTGACAATGAAGGATACAGGCTATAGGCAGCGTGCCATTTGTTTTGAGTATTGGGTTGTATACCATGTTGCTTTTCCTTTCTCGTGTGCTCTACTTACTTCCTCAATGAACTCAAGAGGCTTAGTGTGGTCAATAATTCTTTCTCTTCTGTTTGACCAAACATTTCTTTTGGTGTTCAGTAATCAAATATTGAGGTTAAAGTTACAGAAAACAGAGAGAGGAATCTTCCAGCTTTTAACACTTAGAAAACTCTTGTGAAGTTAAGTTTGTAAAGTTAACTCTTACTGAAGTACATTTTCTGTTTTTGTTTTGAGACTATGAATGTACATATTCCCAAGTAAGTTTTAAGACAAAGACTGGAATCAGCAGTTTTTCCCCCAGGTTGTAATGCTTAGTCAAATCCCTCCCCAGCTAGTAACTGACATTCAACGTGAGACAGGCTGTTTAAGTCCCACTTATTCTCAAGTCCAAAATAATACTAAGTGACCATTAAATGCCATCTGTTAATTATAGGTAGAGTTGACTTGCTTTTGTCCTGGGCTATTTAGTAACGTTCTCTAAATTGGGAGTACGAATTCTAAATCTGAGTGGATTATCTACCTCATGGGTTATAGATGACCTTTATCTTTTAATTTTCATTGAGGTTGCCATCAGTGCAGTCTATCAAAAAGAGTGAGTTAAGTCTGCACTTAGAGCAGGTAATATGATTGCATACACTATTACACTTGTATAATTATATATACCAATACACATATAATAAATAGCATGGTTTTTTAGTAGTCTAAAGCCAGGTATAATGGAATTTGCTTTATCTGCTGATTTGGAATGTCTTCATGTCTGCTGCTTTTTGTTACTGATAATTTAAAGTTGGCTGCTTTTCCATGGCTAATTTTTTACATAATTTTATGTACTAAAATTGTCCATCAAATTTAAATATAAGACCTATGATACAGGTAGTGGTCTACCTATAATCAGAGTTCATTTCTATGTCTGAAAATATTTTTTAAGGTGATGGCATAACAGAGATTAAAGATTAGCATATATTTATCTCTTATTTTCTTCCTCCCTAGTTTTCTGTTGCTAGAGCAGCTGTTTTGAGGATTTGCTGATTAGTAAAGAACTAAGGTTGAAAAGATTCTTATAGTATAAAGAAAGTAAAAATATCCATTGAGTTAGATATTTTTTGATTATGTGTCTTAGTCTCAAACTTTTAGATTTAGATATCACCAGTAAATTAGATATATAGAATTGAAAGATGAAGTTTATTTTATTTTTTGTACAAATACTGTTAGAGTAAAATTCATAAAAAGAGTTAGCCATAGTCATGTGTTGCCTAGTCTAAAAGCAATAATTATAATATTACAAACTGACCATATGACCTGGGCTCTCATGTCTTTGTAGTTCATTCATTTTATTAAAAAAAAAAGCTTTAAGTGTCTATTTTGTGTTACAGAATTGAGAGTTGCTTCAGAATGTCTAGTTCTTCATTATAATATGATTTATGTTTAAATTGTTCACAGTGGTATGGTTATCCATACTCTTCGAACTGTTCCCTTGTCTGGAATAAAAAGCATATGGGTTAGTAGTTGTTTTCTAGAAAAAATAGAAAGATTTCATTTAGTTTATTCTAATGTAATAAAGTAAATCAGTGATTGGAAGTAGTGTAACAAATAAAAATTTATCAGCAGTGTACCACTCTGTTCATTCTGACTTCTGAAAGCTCTGAATTTTTTATACAGTCCATAGGGGAAATCTGTGTTATACACAGTGAAGGAAATAACAAACCTTTTACACAAGTCTTCTGGAAATGTTTTTATTTCATAAGCAGTTTGTATGCCCGCATATTTTTCCTCTAAGCCAAAATGACTCCTTGCCCTAAGTTAGAGACGGAAGAGGGGAGAACATGTAATTGTAAAGAACCAGGCAGCAATCATAGAAGTGCTTAATAACTGGAGCCAGTTTCACATGGGTCACCCTGAAGTTTGAACACAACACTTCCTATATTAAGATGTGTATGATCTTGCTGTAATTGTACTACGTACGCTGTCAACAGGCAAGTGATAGTGTGCTCTAAGGACAAGAGTTCTGCTGCGTGCTTCTGCAAGAAGTATTATAATGTCAGAACACTTGAAATGTTTCTGACCCACACAATGGGCATGATTAGTAAACACAAGGGTCGGAAATACAATTTATTCTTTCAGTATGACAGAAATAGCAAACTGTGTAAATCTCAAGCCTGATACATAGCTATATTAATACGGGCAGAGTAAGTATGCTTTTAAGAGTCAACAAATATTTGCTCATCCCAACATAGGTTGCTTTTAAATGAATATATTTTTAAAATTTAATAGGTACATTTATTTTATATGTAATGTTTTGAGTTCTTCCTGCTCTATAGGTAACTGATTACTTAGGCCACTGTTATTACAACAGTTATGTTCAAGTTACTGAACAAGGTGGAGCAATGATGCAGAGTATAGTAAATAAACTAATTTTTCATGCAGTTGTGTAGTATATTTGAGTTTTGTTTTTCTTCAGACTTCTCTGATGCTTTTTTCTTTCTGCTATCAATAAAGACAGGTTAATATTAGGCTTTTTCTTTTATTTCCTTCAAACCCTTTTATTTTTCTGAAAGATGATATCAGATGGAGGGCATTATAATAAGGGAGAGATATATTAGAAAACAAGACTTAGCCCTTCTTCCAAATACAGTATGATGAAAATCAAAACTTACTTGTCTTGATCCACACTTACCTTAGAGAATCAGAGTGTTTCAAAACAATGTTTGAAACTAGCCTGTAGCAGTTTCTAAAAGTAGTAACTTTTGGTCTTTAGGTTTTTCCTGTGTAAAGGGCTATATAGTTATTGCTATAGATTTGCACAGAAATTAAATGTTTCTTATGTTTGCTACTATAGGAATGTGAGTATTGCATATGTGAAGATTTCAACCAGCTAGTTTACTTAGCTCCACATTTCCAGGATACTGACATTGAGTTCATTTAGTTAGTAGAATAGTAAATACAAATGCTGCTGTGGACTTCCAGTTATTAATGAGTACCTAGAACTATCATCTTTCATCTTTTTTACAATCTTAATATGCAGTCACAATTGTATAATTGACTTGAATTTTGTCTCAAGGAGTTTACCTTTCTAAAGAGGTATAATCTTGCTAATATTTTCCTACTGGTTTTACAGCTGGCATCCCTCGTTCAGTATTAAAAGATTGGCGTAAAGTCAAGAAGCTGAAGCAAACTGGGGAATCCTTTTTACAGGATGACTCTTGCTGTGAGATAGGGCCTAATTTGCAGAAGTGCCGAGAATGTAGACTTATTCGGAGTAAAAAGGGAGAAGAACCAGCTCATTCACCAGTATTTTGTAGATTTTACTACTTTAGACGGTAAGTTGAAAATAAATAATTCAGGGAAAACATGTTTATAGGATATTGGAAATTATACTCTCATTCCAGGAGCCTTTTACAGGTGAGAATGAGGCTTTGAGCCTCTGTGTTTCTGAAGCATTATAAAAGAATATTAAACTTTGTGTGTGCCAAATTTAATAATAGCTAATTATTGGAGGAAATTCATATTCACACTGATATTTGTGTTCATATGGCCTTTCTCTTCTGAAAGATTTATTACTCTTCCTTAATGAGAAAATATTCATATTTTTTCTAGAAAATGGAAGGAAACAGTTTGATTTAAGTATTTTTTTTAATTTATATTTTTTTGCTAGAACAATGTCACATTTATATCTGTGCATTAGCTACAATGACTAAGAGTCTATAAGTCTAGGTAAAAAATCTAGGCATTAAAGTCTGTATGTTACATTAGAGATACCCATACTTTTGTTCAACATATGTAGCTATAAAAATATGAGTTGTAAAATGACAATAAAGATATATCAGTACCAGTTCACATTTCACAGTTTTTGTAGAGAATATAAAAACATATAGTTGTTATTAAACTTATATAGTACTATAATGTTAATATCAATAAATAATACTTCAGTACTAAAAACTTAAAGACTTGCAAGAGTTCAACTAAAGAATAGCTGGGTCCAGCCAATGGAAACTAGTTAACTGTACAGTTTATTAACTGTAGTAGAACTATAGCTAAACCCATCTCATCTGCATAATGTGAGTGATAGTGGTCCCTACCTCAGAGAGGTTTCATGAAGATTAAGTGAAAAAAAAGTAACACAAAGTCCTTAGTATAGTACCAGGCACAACGAAATGCTCTGATGATGTTACCTGCAATTATTTTCCTAATCATCATCATTTTCTTCCGAAGTTAGGAGACACTTTGTTCCAGGAAATACAAATACTATGCTGTTGGCCTAGTAGAGACTCCAAAAATATGTAGTGGTAGGAACATTTCTTTACTTCATGGTTTTTCTAGCCAATAGCCCTCAAAGGACAGACAACTTCAAAGAATAGTTACAGAAGGTAGTATACATGGAGGTACAGAAAAGATAGAAAAGGAATCAAAAGGAAAGTAGGTTTGAAGAGATAAGAAAACCTTTGGGAAAGTTTGAAGGAAAGAAAGAGGTAACACAAAGCTAAAATAAGATGAAGGGTTGTAATGAAAAGAGAAAGTTTTTTTTTTAAAAAAGGAAAAGGGTAAGGTGGTAAAGGTATAAGAAAAAGGAGGCAAAAGGAATGTTGTTGGCGTTGTCCTTTTGGAAAATACAAAATGGCTTATAGAGTATCCCCTCTTTGAGTAAGTACAAAGATAATTGAGGAATAACCACCAGTCAGTAAGAAAATGGGAGTTTTGCTTTCCATTTACCCTTAATTTATCTGAATTGAGTAGTTACATAAATTGGGTGTCAGAAGCTAAGAGAAGGAAGTTAAGTACACTAATTCGGTTCCTGATACACTATTAGAGTTTCAGTCTTATTTCTCCAAAGCACGTTAGTAAAGTGTCATTTTTTAATAAACTTTATTCTTTTAGAGCAGTTTCAGGTTCACAACAGAATTGAGCAGATAATAGAGTTCCCACATAGCCCTCTCCACCCACACATATTTACTCCCCTACCCTCAACATCCCTTATCACTGTGGCATATTTGGTACAATCGATGAACCAACATGGGCACATTGTTATCAACCGAAGTCCATAGATGTGTCATTTTAATTAAGGAAGAAAATGTATATGTACTTTGTATTTTTCTTAATACTCCCTGTGAAAGTCTTGGGGGGTTTTTTTGTTTTTGTTTTGGTCTTTTGGCAGGGAGGTGGGGGAGAGAGGTAATTAGGTTTATTTATTTTTAGAGGAGATACTAGGGATCGAACCCAGGACCTTGTGCATCCAGGACCTTGTGCACGCTAGGCATGCACTCTACCACTTGAGCTGTATCCTCCCCCGAAAGTCTTAAGATGATACATGGCATTTTCAACTTTAGAGGTTGTTAATTTAGATTGTGTAGAAAATAACTGCATTGCTTAAGGCAGCATTTGGCCAACATTTAAACTCTTGTCCTCATGAAACACTTGGGCAGTTTTCATTTGATTGGAGTTAAGTAGGGAAGTGATAGGGAAAATCATATTTCTTGAAGTTTTAAAATTGGTGCTGCTTATCATTGCCATTTGTGTAGCACTGTGGAAGTCAAAAGTTGGTTAAATTTTATCAATGAAGTTTATGTACGTAAAGGACTACCTTATTTTCATGCTTTTAATTGTAAATATAAAATAATGTAATAGAACCTGGACTTCTGTCTTGGTATCTAATGCTTTTATGTTTTAATGTTTCAGATTATCATTTAGTAAAAATGGAGTGGTTAGAATAGATGGCTTCTCTTCTCCTGACCAATATGATGATGAAGCTATGAGTTTATGGACACATGAAAATTATGAAGATGATGAACTAGACATAGAAACTTCAAAATACATCTTGGATATAATAGGTGATAAGTTCTGTCAGTTGGTAACGTCTGAAAAAACAGCTTTATCCTGGGTGAAAAAGGATGGTAAGGAAGTTAAATACTTAGAACATGCAACTATACACATTTCATTTAAAAAATTTCTCTTTGGAATGTTTCATCTGTGGGTATAGTCTTATCTAGTCTTGTTTACTTTTTTTTTTAATTTTTTTTTTTTGGTGAGGTAGGGGGTAATTAGGTTTATTTGTTTTAATGGATGTATGGGAGATTGAACCCAGGACCTCATGCATGCTAAGCATGTACTCTACCACTGAGCTATACCCTTCCCCTAAGGCTTGTTTACTTTTACTTTTGATGCCACTTTATTACATACACTTGCACCTATATGTAATTAAAGTAACAGCTGTTTTCCAGTTGAGGTTGAATTGAATGGATTAGCAATTTGTGGAATTACAGCAGCATTTTGGTATTTCTGCCACTATGACATACTTTAGTACAATAAGGGCACTTTATATCTGATACTCAGAAAATTTCAGCATTTCCCATATAAAGACATAATCCATCCAGTTATTTAAATTTTTAATCTAGTGTGGTTCATCAGTCTTTGGAGTTAGATTTATATTTGAATCTCAACTTTACTCCTTGTTTACCTATATAACTGTGAAATGGAAATAATAACTACTTTATAGATTGGTTTATAAAGTACTGTTCTGTTTAAAGCAACTTACATACTAGGTGCTCTAAATGTTAGTTTCGTTTCCTTCTTGTCTCTTAAATCAGTGGTTTGTCCCCCCCAGGGACCTTTGGCAATGACTGGAGACATTTTTGGTTGTATACTTGAAGTGTGTAGGGTACTAGCATCTAATAGGTGGAAGCCACAGATGCCACTAAACATTCTATCCTACACAGGATAGTCCCCTAGGAAAAAAGAATTACTCAGTCCAAATGTCAAAATTGCCAAGATTGAGAAATGTTGCATTAGATGTATATCTTCTGAAGAGAATTATTAATGACTTCAAGAAATCTTCTATTGATCATTAATTAATATATCCCTCAAAGATCTTGGTTTGCCTTGAGATTTTTGTTTTTGTGCATTTTAGTGAAAATTGTATGGTAAAAGAGCATGTTTGCCTTAAGTTTTTCTTTCTCTGTATTTCAGTCAAAATTGCCTGGAAAAGAGCAGTGAGAGGAGTCCGGGAGATGTGTGATGCATGTGAAGCAACATTATTTAACATTCATTGGGTCTGCCAAAAATGTGGATTTGTGGTCTGCTTAGATTGTTACAAAGGAAAAGAAAGGAAGAGTTCTAGAGGTTGGTTTATAGCTTTATATAAATTGAAATTTATAATTTTTTTAGGGTCATTCATCTGGAACATTAGATGAGTTGTTTTTCCTACCTTCCTTGATTATGACTATATTACATTTAGGAATTTTTGTGAAGTTTGTTTTTAAAAGGAAGAGTTAACCACAGTTTATTAAAATAACCAGATTTTCTAGTATAAAACTGCATCTACATCTTTTTTAGCCTGATTAGTAGATGCACAGTCTCATTTCAAGCAGATACTTCCTTAATACAGCCCAAATTTAGGTTAGGTTTTGCTGCCTTCAGATTCTGGTGTGTCAGAGCCTGAAGTCTCTTCTAGAACCTGTTAATTATACAGTCATGCACATAAATCAAAATTGAATATTTACTAGTGTGAGTTGATTTTTCTAAATATTGGTCCATAAAGTTCCAATCAAAATATTCAAGAATATGCTACCACTAGCACCATTTACTCCCCCTAGTTAGACTATTCATTGTCTAAAAACAGTATCATTTTCATTCCATGCAGCTCTTTTTCAAAGTAGTATGTCAGGTAGGTGAATTATAATTTAGCCATCAGTGTCTTTTCTACTGATAGGATTACTAAAGCCTCACCCTTTCTAACCCTTCTTATACACCCAGCACTTACCAAAGAGAACTAAGTAGGAAAGCATCTGTAGCTAATTGTTTCTGTGATATGTAAAAGGTACATGAGTATAATGTAAAACCATAAAAAGGAATGTATTTAGGCAGTTAATCATCTTTCCTGGTTCCAAATTACTTCTGTTTCCCTTTTGCCAAATTAAAAAGAAATTAATTTTAATGCATTGTTGTATGCACATATAAGCATAAATCTTTTAAAATAAATTTAATAATTGTGTTGCTGTTAGTTATGGTACCATTTGTTTTGAAAGTATAGTCTGAGTCACTGTATTATTTTTTTTGAATGTAACCTATATGCCTTGAGTTGTATTCTGTGTTATGTATATATTTCCTTATTTCACAGTTCAGTACTATAGTGAGCTTACATTGACTAGGTTATAGCTTTATATAATGCCTAAAATATAAGCAGTTAGAAAACATTTACAAATTACTATCTAGGCTTCAGAGGGAAAGTCAGAAACCTTTATAAAGGAAACCAGTTTTAGCCTGGATTTGAATTTTATTTCCTTGGAAACTTTTCATGAAATAATTAATAGATTTTTTATGCTGAATTTAATGAGCTTTTTGATATTTATTGAAACTCATAGCCACATCATAAATAGTACCTATATCATTAATTTTATAGAGAAAGATCTCCTTGAGATCGAGGTATTGAATATTTTTTCCTGTGTATAA